CTTCTCACTGGGTGGTGGCAGGGGACCAGGGTTTAAGCATGTAAGCTATTTAAGCATCTGGATTTAATGCACCATTAAGGTCAACGGCTAACCAGTCTGCACCTGTAGCGCTCCTCACCAAATCCAGCAGCCCCTCCTCTCATTCAGCTGCCGGTGGTCACTATTTCTCCACTTTCTCTCTGTGATTTCACCAAAGAAGCTTCAACATTCTCAAAACAAAGTTCCCAATTGGAAACAAAAAAACATTTTACAGACTGATGCCACTGCAGAATGTTTTAAGAGTCGTGTCCCTGCCCCGAGCCCGACCTTCATCTTCTCATCTCATTCTTTAAATTGTTCTCCTCACACCCTCGCTCGCTCCATCACCCCCTCCGTCTCAGTGCAGCCTGTTCTGTTGTGTCTGCCAACCGCTCTCTGCTGGATCACAGGTTTCCTGAGCTGGAGAGCCGGGGACTGGCAGTCTCAAACACTGTGAACGGCCAACTTGCTTTTTTCCCACTGCGCTTGGTGTACGTTCTGCTCACTGAACACGTACTCCTACGCAAACGCCCAGGCAGCAAAGAGTCACAACCATTACGAAAAGAATCACAGTCATTCCTGTCCCGACAGACATAGAACGATAGAACGATAGATAGAACGATAGATAGACAAACAGACAGACAGACAGATAGATAGAAAACAACAGAACGATAGAACAATAGATAAATAAATAGACAGACAGACAGACAACAACAGAACGATAGAACAATAGATAAATAAATAGACAGACAGACAGACAACAACAGAACGATAGAACAATAGATAAATAAATAGACAGACAGACAGACAACAACAGAACGATAGAACAATAGATAAATAAATAGACAGACAGACAGACAACAACAGAACGATAGAACAATAGATAAATAAATAGACAGACAGACAGACAACAACAGAAAATAGATAGACAAATAGACAGAAAGATAGATAGATAGATAGATAGATAGATAGATAGATAGATAGATAGATAGAGAACAACAGAATGATATAACAGATAGATAGATAGATACAGAACGATAGAATGATAGAACAATAGATAGATAGAGAACAACAGAATGATAGAATGATAGATAGATAGATAGCCAGACAGAGACAGATAGATAGATAGAGAACAACAGAACGATAGAATAGATAGATAGATAGATAGATAGAGAACGATAGAATGATAGATAGACAGAACAATCGAACAATAGAGACAGATAGATAGATAAATAGATAAAACGATATATATATATATATGCTGTGAGGGGGATATAAAACAACAGAACGATAGAACAATAGACAGACAGAGAGATAGATAGATAGATAGATAGCTAGATAGATAGATAGATAACGACAGAACGATAGATAGATAGAGAACGATAGAATGATAGATAGACAGAACAATCGAACAATAGAGACAGATAGATAGATAAATAGATAGAACGATATATATATATATATATGCTGTGAGGGGGATATAAAACAACAGAACGATAGAACAATAGACAGACAGAGAGATAGATAGATAGATAGATAGCTAGATAGATAGATAGATAACGACAGAACGATAGATAGATAGAGAACGATAGAATGATAGATAGACAGAACAATCGAACAATAGAGACAGATAGATAGATAAATAGATAGAACGATATATATATATATATATGCTGTGAGGGGGATATAAAACAACAGAACGATAGAACAATAGACAGACAGAGAGATAGATAGATAGATAGATAGCTAGATAGATAGATAGATAACGACAGAACGATAGATAGATAGAGAACGATAGAATGATAGATAGACAGAACAATCGAACAATAGAGACAGATAGATAGATAAATAGATAGAACGATATATATATATATATATGCTGTGAGGGGGATATAAAACAACAGAACGATAGAACAATAGACAGACAGAGAGATAGATAGATAGATAGATAGCTAGATAGATAGATAGATAACGACAGAACGATAGATAGATAGAGAACGATAGAATGATAGATAGACAGAACAATCGAACAATAGAGACAGATAGATAGATAAATAGATAGAACGATATATATATATATATATGCTGTGAGGGGGATATAAAACAACAGAACGATAGAACAATAGACAGACAGAGAGATAGATAGATAGATAGATAGCTAGATAGATAGATAGATAACGACAGAACGATAGATAGATAGAGAACGATAGAATGATAGATAGACAGAACAATCGAACAATAGAGACAGATAGATAGATAAATAGATAGAACGATATATATATATATATATGCTGTGAGGGGGATATAAAACAACAGAACGATAGAACAATAGACAGACAGAGAGATAGATAGATAGATAGATAGCTAGATAGATAGATAGATAACGACAGAACGATAGATAGATAGAGAACGATAGAATGATAGATAGACAGAACAATCGAACAATAGAGACAGATAGATAGATAAATAGATAGAACGATATATATATATATATATGCTGTGAGGGGGATATAAAACAACAGAACGATAGAACAATAGACAGACAGAGAGATAGATAGATAGATAGATAGCTAGATAGATAGATAGATAACGACAGAACGATAGATAGATAGAGAACGATAGAATGATAGATAGACAGAACAATCGAACAATAGAGACAGATAGATAGATAAATAGATAGAACGATATATATATATATATATGCTGTGAGGGGGATATAAAACAACAGAACGATAGAACAATAGACAGACAGAGAGATAGATAGATAGATAGATAGCTAGATAGATAGATAGATAACGACAGAACGATAGATAGATAGAGAACGATAGAATGATAGATAGACAGAACAATCGAACAATAGAGACAGATAGATAGATAAATAGATAGAACGATATATATATATATATATGCTGTGAGGGGGATATAAAACAACAGAACGATAGAACAATAGACAGACAGAGAGATAGATAGATAGATAGATAGCTAGATAGATAGATAGATAACGACAGAACGATAGATAGATAGAGAACGATAGAATGATAGATAGACAGAACAATCGAACAATAGAGACAGATAGATAGATAAATAGATAGAACGATATATATATATATATATGCTGTGAGGGGGATATAAAACAACAGAACGATAGAACAATAGACAGACAGAGAGATAGATAGATAGATAGATAGCTAGATAGATAGATAGATAACGACAGAACGATAGATAGATAGAGAACGATAGAATGATAGATAGACAGAACAATCGAACAATAGAGACAGATAGATAGATAAATAGATAGAACGATATATATATATATATATGCTGTGAGGGGGATATAAAACAACAGAACGATAGAACAATAGACAGACAGAGAGATAGATAGATAGATAGATAGCTAGATAGATAGATAGATAACGACAGAACGATAGATAGATAGAGAACGATAGAATGATAGATAGACAGAACAATCGAACAATAGAGACAGATAGATAGATAAATAGATAGAACGATATATATATATATATATGCTGTGAGGGGGATATAAAACAACAGAACGATAGAACAATAGACAGACAGAGAGATAGATAGATAGATAGATAGCTAGATAGATAGATAGATAACGACAGAACGATAGATAGATAGAGAACGATAGAATGATAGATAGACAGAACAATCGAACAATAGAGACAGATAGATAGATAAATAGATAGAACGATATATATATATATATATGCTGTGAGGGGGATATAAAACAACAGAACGATAGAACAATAGACAGACAGAGAGATAGATAGATAGATAGATAGCTAGATAGATAGATAGATAACGACAGAACGATAGATAGATAGAGAACGATAGAATGATAGATAGACAGAACAATCGAACAATAGAGACAGATAGATAGATAAATAGATAGAACGATATATATATATAAAACAACAGAACGATAGAACAATAGACAGACAGACAGATAGATAGATAGATAGATAGATAGATAGATAAAACAACATAACGATAGAACAATAGATAGACAGACAGACAGACAGACAGACAGACAGATAGATAGATAGATAGATAGATAGATAGATAGATAGATAGATAGATAGATAGATAGATAGATAGATAGATAGATAGATAGTGCTGAACTAAACAGTTGACTGTAAACTGCCAAACCCCTCACAAATGCCCTGTTTTGTTACATTTCTTCTTTACAACCACTTGCAGTATTGAAAGAGACACTCCTGACAAGTGTAAACATCACTAAGAATAACCTCGCGTTTGCTGTGAGGGTGATGTTTTTTAGGAGCCTCAGTGCTGTCTGTGAGCGATGTTTATACCTTTTTTGGCCGGTGAGGAGGTGTGATGGGTCACGGACTCGCGTCTGTTCTGTGCACTTAATGGGCGGATGTCGCCCGCGGAATCTACAAGACACTGAACCGCGCCAAAACACAGAGATTATTGTAATCTTGTAAAATTGTAATCTAATCCAGATTATTGTAAATTCTTTATAAATATTCATAAATAAATAATATAAAATGAATAAAAATGCATCTTGTTTACTTTGTTTTTTTCTTTTCTATTAATATTTAAGAGACAAACAGACCGTTTAAAAAATACTGAAACAGGTTTAAGAATAGATCATACGAATTTAGTTTTGTAGTAAATATTTGAAGTACACTGCATGTTCCATAATGCTTTTCGGCATCCACGTCATCAACCTGCGTTATTATTCCTAAAGTGGTGAGCTGGCTTTGAACAGCGGGTAAGAGAGAGTGTTTCAATATTATCAGTGCATTTTCAATGTGCGTATTTAATATTTGGGAGCTGGTCATTGTTACCAAGCTAAAATATTTCCTCCGTTTAGCGTTGTTTGTCAGATTTCATTGTAAACACCATGTAATCGTTAGCATTCGTGCTAGCTGTTCAATACGAGTGAGGATCAATGCGAATTTTAAACAACAGTTTTGTATATTTACAATTATTTTACTGTAATATTTATGATTTCTTTATCATCCGATTTCGCCTGTCTCAAACACTAGCGGTAGACATTCTGATTATCACCTTTAATCGAATGCAATTCATGATGGTTTCCAATGGTTTCTTGGTAATGTAACGTTAGTATAAATATATTCATGTTTTTATTTCATACAGTGTTTCATGTATGGCCAAACATAAGTGGCCACTTTAAAATTCATTAAGTTTTACAGTGTGTGCTATCTACAATAAAGCATAATATGTGAAACAGAACTGTCTAACAGAAACTCATTTATCCTCACAGGTGGATTCTTCATTTATAATTGAGCCCTCCACCGTCCCACAAACTTCATCACAATGACCAAGCTTCTGGAGTGGCTTCTTGGTGTGTCGCTGATTGGTGTGGCATGGGGACTTGTTACCTTTGACCTCCTTGATTTGCAGTTGCCTCCCCAGTATAGAGAGCTGGCGTGGCCCATGCCTGTATATCTGCTGGTGGCGTTTGGGTGTTATTCACTGGCAGCTGTCGGCTACCGTGTGGCCACGTTTAATGACTGTGAGGACGCGGCCAAAGAGTTGCAAGCACAAATAAAAGAAGCCAAAGAGGATTTAAAGAAGAAGGGACTGAAGATGTGAGAATTACGTCTTGGCTTCTGCTTTTATATACAAATGCAAACATAGTCTCATTGTTTCTGTTTATTTTGTGATGTCTGTACTACAATATGCACTCAAGACTGCAGCTCAAAGCTGTCCAACTATGTTCAAGTCTTTTTTTCTACATGATGTAAATAATAGTTTGAAATTTAAGCACCTGCACACCTGTGAATGATCTATTTCCAGCATTATGACAGTCTTATTTTAAACATTACAGGCACATGCATGTATTGTCAATGGAGAGCAGCGCTATTTCTGTACAACCTCCAGAGAGTGTGTATTTGCATTTGCCAGGGACTGAATACGTCTTTTTTGAACCAGTTCTTTTTAGCGAGTCAGACTTAGAAATGAACCCACTGTGTAGATTTGCGCTTGCACAATGGCAGCATTTCAGTAAATCAAATGACTTAGATTTTGATTTAAAATATAAAATAATGGGACTGTGCTAAGGCTCCCACGCTGTTGTCCTTTTTACCTTAAATTAAGGTTATGAGCATTTTTTTTGTAATTGGAGTACAAGTGTTGTAAGTACAACCATTTAATGTTAATATTACAGGCCCTAATAAAAGAAGTGGCCTACATAGGGCTTTTCACACTTGAAATAGTTAACCCTGGGTCATTTTAAAGCTCAGGTAAACAAAATCCAGGGTTATTTTGCTTTACGTTTCACACTGCTCATAATTTGCATGGGTTAAAAATTAATGCTGTTTATTCATAAGATAACGTGTCACACTGTGCATGCATTTCCCGGGTTAACGTTCTTATTTGCATATTTGCGGTGCAAGTGTCAGTGATTGGACAAATGCAGCACGCGACCTTTTTCCATAACGATTCTAGCATCCTCATATTAGTAGCTATATCATTTACAGAAAAAATGTGCACAGCAAAGAAGGGGTGACACTAAAATATCAAGAGTGCAAAAACAGACACCCTCCACCCCCCACCAAACTAGTGTGACTGTAACACAAAGCATGTTTCTGCAAATGCGTGAAATAAAATCGATAATTCAGCCCCAATGCAGTAAAAACACAGACACCAAGGAAGGGGTTACACTCTAAAACATCAGTACAAAACAGACACACACACACTCACTTACACACAAATGAACTGGTGTGTAGCAACATGGCAAAATTGAGCCAGAAGACTCAAATAAGAGGTTGAAATTCAGATTGATTAATCTCTGATAAAGCATTCCTGTTCATTTTTGTAACATTTTTAAAAACTTTGATGTTTGATGTAAAATGTCTTTCTCTGCGTTCAGGTTTGACTAGTAAGATTAATGCAAAAACTGTCATTTCAAACCAATGTTTTAAAAAAAAAAATTCTAAACCTTTGCAGAGAGTTGTCTTTGAGAATGTCTAAATATATATCGAAATCCACAACTTAAAAAAAAAATGTCTAAAAACAACTAGAGAATTTATAAGCCTTTTATATTGAGCTATGTAGGAATGTAGTTGCCAAACCATGGAATTGCAGAATTTTTTCTTTTTTTTTACTCCAAACAGATGGCACTAATCTGACTTCAAAATTAGATTTTAAAGGCATTATCTCTATTTTAACATGAAATACTGCCACAATTGAAAAGTAATAGAAAATATTAGAAAAAACATTGTTGGGGAAAGTTAATAATGATTGCATAAATATTAATTAGTACCATGAAATTCTCTCAAAATACAAAATAAAAAAAATATTATTGAACAAAAATATATTAACTTAAAAAAAAGTTAAATTTCAGGTGCCCGGTTACTTTTGACCGCAAACAACATAAGCGTGACTCCCAAATGAACAATACCAGAGGGTTAAAGCATGAATATGAGACAAGCGATTGGCTGTCTGTACCCAAGCGTTGAGCCATAACAATGACCACATCGGTTCACACTGTACGAGTTTGGCACCGCAATGTAGGGTTAACGCCAGAAAAGAGCTGCTTTAATAACCCCAGGTAAAAAGCGCTGCTTCTAAATTACAAGTGTGACACGTAGGCCTACCTTTACTTGGGGTTAAACACAGTGTTAAAGGCCATCATGTGTGTTCACCATTTCATTGTTCACCATTTTTTGCATTTCCTCAGACATTCCATATGATGAAAATTAATGTTTGATATAAAATACTCTGCTGTACCTTAGCCTTCTGCCTTAGATTCTGGTCTCAAAAAATGAACTTCTGTCCACATAAATTCTGAAATGTGATCCACGTCCATGTGTTGGCTCTTAAAACACTAATCCCAAAGCCACTAAGTGCACACGGGCGCTGTATATAGTGCTGAATTAATCTGGTGTTTTTGGCAAGCAAAGCTCATTCGTTCTCTTCAAGCTATAGGCTTTTGTAGCCTTCTTTTTAGGCCCCTTCAATGCCACTGTGAACAGGCCTATACCTGTTTGCAGAAAAAAGTAGGTTTTTCATAAGTTTGCAGTTTTCTTGTAGGACTAGGCTCTGCCTGACTGCTGATTGGCTCCTGTTCAAATCTCTGATGTCACCCCCTGCAGCCTCTTACAAGCTGTTGTTAGTTAAGACCTGTTTTTCACAAACCCATAGTAGCATATGAGAGAACAGCATCAGCATTTTCTCCTGATTAACGCCACGTTTATGCTTTGAGATGCAGTTTAAACAGCTGAGAAACTAAGCAAATGATTTCTATCGCAGAGTTTTGAATAGGACTTTCTGTGCTGGAATTAAGAAAGATTCAATGATCTGATTCAATGGCCCATTATTGAGAAGAAAGAGAAAATTGCAGGCTTTGCTTTATGCTCCACGGTAATTTTCTGGTGCTGATCAATAAATCTCTCTGAAATGTAGGCATTGTTAGCCAGGACATGCTTAAAGCAAACAAGTGAAAAACAAACATGCATTTCCTTTTGTGTTCCATTGAGGAATACAAATACAGATTTAAAGACACGAGGGTGAGTATATAATTTTTGTGTGAACTGTTCCTTTAAGAAAATGTCTAAAGTTCAACAAATAGATGAGTTAATGGTAGTTATTTTCATTGTTGGTTTTCAAATACTAATTATCACTGAAAGCAATATTTTGTACTACATGGCTTTAAAAACAAGCACATTTGTCTCAGCTGACCTGTTTCAACTGCCTTTAGGGGTTAGAGACGCCACATTTTGCGAAATATAAGACAGGTCATGCTGCTGTTGTACGTCAAGAGACCTTTATGCCCCATACTTCACATTTGTCTGTTATGCAACGTGATACTTCTTCTGGTCTGTTATTGTTGGGAGAATGAACTGTATGTGCCTCATTTAGATTGAATACATGGTTCAAACTCAAACCAACAGTGACCCAAAAACGGATCTGGACACTTAAGAAAAAAAATTTGAATGTTGTTGTATGGTGTTTAATTTTAATAAAAGATAAAAAAATTCATAAAGGTGTTTTAAGTAAATAAAATATAGCCTACAAATAAAATATATTAATACATAAATTATATTCTCTAAATGTAATCTCTAATTTTGCATATTTGTATCTACCTAAAGTAAATAGTATATACAGTGTTTAAGTATTTGGGCATTTTGTGGTTGTCAAATTTAGAGGTCAGTGTCTATGAAAAATAAAACAATGTCTAAATAGCTATTTGGCTATCAGTTAACATTTTCCAATAGCATGTACAGCCAAAGTTATGTCAGGCAAAAAAGAAATGTCTGAGTTATTGCATTTTGATTACAAAGATTACAAAGACAAACATTATTTTCCCTTTAGAATAACATGCACTGATGAATCATACACAATAAAACTAGGAATGTGTATCAATAATGTAAATAGCATCAATATTGATTCCATGTTGACTTGAAATGATATTCAGTAAAACCTCAAGCACACCAAGCGTCTGAATGGCCTAAAATGTCTAAAAAGTGTGCTGCCAACATATGAACAAAGAGAAATCCTATCTGGAGTGCCAGCTGCCAAACTTTCTCTAAAGCCTTCTTAAAATAAATAGGAATGTAAAAAAGACGGAAAAATGAGTGGAAGTGTAGAGTAATGCCTGAAATCTTTAGCTCCTCTGAATGTATGTACGTCAGTGAATGTAAACCTTATTGTTTAAGCTAATTAGCTCACTGTTTCAGTAACATGTGCTAGCAAGGTGTGTTTGTCAAAGAATCCAAGACCGTGGAACACTTCCAGCTTTCTTTCCCCGTGACCCAGAAGTCAATATCCAAATATGCCTTTATTAGGACAGAAACCAGTAGAGACCACCTAAGAGTATGTAGAAGATAATACGTCCTATTAAATGGCTAAATTCAGTTGTGTTACATGTTTGACTCAGCAGCTTATTATACTGCCCGGTCAAAATCTTGCTAGTGTTTATGGTTTTGGCTTGAGTGACTCTGTGAGACTTATTTTCACCTCTTAATCTAAATCTTTATTTTATTTATTTTCAAAATTGCATATAATGAACGGTTGAACAGATGTCTGAAATCGGCGGCTCTGTGAGAAAATTGGCTGTATCAAACTAAGTAGAGTGGTCTGTGCTTTTGAAAGTTGTATCAAGGTTGATTTCTTCTGAAATTTATGGCAAGCATAGCTTGAAACTCAATCACATTTTCATTGTCTGAACAAGAATTTATGCGCAATCCAAGCAGAGCTTAAATCTAGATGCAGCGGCCCCTGACTCCATCCTGAGAAGCTGCATGACAGTCTTTGTTGTTTAAATGGCTTGAAAATAATTACGGGGTTTATGTATTCATATTTCTGATATTGTTGGACTGGTATAGTATGTCTCTGGGTTTGGCTTTGTGTCTTTGAAATAGGATAACCCATTCAGCAGTGAAAATTTTGCTTTTTAAATTTTTTTTTATATATCAATATATTTGCTTGCTCTCAATCCCCAACGAATAAAAAAAACAAAAAACGAAGAAATCCAGGTTTTACTCAGTGCTCACAAAGACAGATTACACATGAGGCCATCATAACATTATTGTCTTTGTTTTAGGAACCACATCTCACTGGAAGTGTCCCATGTTCACTGAGCCGTCTGCTTTTAAGGCCAAATGTGGTCAAAAAGCTGATTTCCCAATTTCTCCAGCTATCTGGACTTGATCTAAAATCAAAGTTAAGTGATATTTAGTTGTTACATTAGGCTTTAACACTGAGGAACTAAAATAATTCTTGTTGCACAAAGTTTTAAGCTGATTATTACTGATTACAAATGCCAATTCATGCAACAAATATGATTCAGAAAAGGTGGTAAGTCTTTGGAGGGGAAAAAATACCATCAATCATTTTTTTGTATAATTCTTAACATTATTAATTTTTTAAAAATGTATTATCATATATGGATTTGTTATATGCTTAAAAATACATATATTAATCATATATGGATATACATAATACATATAAATACATACCTTTATAAAGAGCTCTTTTTCTCTGCCTCCACATTAATGTCATCCTTCTTTTCTGTACAGAGTTTCTCCAACCCCCGTTCATGTTGGATAACAGTATGAGACATATGCTGTCTGAGGAAGACTTGTGTCATATTTCTCTCCACATGATGCCCATGCTGCGTCCAGACAAGAGGCTGTTGTCCTCCAACCTGCTTCCTCCACCGATGACTGAATATGAGAATAAGCAAATGTGATATTAGACAAAACACATACATGAACAACCTGTATTGATTTCAACATATACTTCATGTTACATTATGTGACTTTCATCCAAGCTTCCTGTTGTGATTGTATAGCCATTTAAATAATTATAAATGACGTGTGTTATCATCTAATGAATGCTCTTTATCTTTTACAGCACATTTTATCAGATGAGTAACAGAAATGGGATACAAAGCCACAGTATTTGCCCCAACTTGCGCAAGGATAAAACATGCTAAGCATATTTCTTGATCAAAGTTGTGTGTGTGTGTGTGTGTGTGTGTGTGAATGCAGACCCTCTTACAATGGGTATTTGTAGCTCAAGGACAAAAGCTTAACATATTTATCATAAGCACAGAAACAGATGTGCAGGACCAACTTAATGCGTTATCTTGAAAATAGAAAAATGCAGAAGTAACATTCTCAGTCTTCAGGAGGACATATTAAAAGCTGATAAGAGAGAGCCAACATTTTTTCCAGATGTGAGATGAATAATATGCAGGAAGGAGGGAGAGATCTTGCCCTCTTGTTTTTTTAGTCTCTTTGACACTGCAGCTGAAGTTCATTCAATTCA